AAAATAGATTCATTCGCAACTAGATAAGTAAATTCGTTATTGTGAGATTCGATTATAAATGCTTTTTCACAGGGATATCTAAAAGATAAATCACAAACCACATAGAGGTTGAGATTAAGTGAAATCATCGGTTCAAGGGGAAATAAATCGTAGCTACGTTGGAAAAGGGTCCTGTTCGTTCTCGTGGAATTTCAGTGGAGGAAAAGGGAAGCGATTGAATCGTCGCGAATCCTACCGCTCTCGCAGCCTCTTTTCTTACCTTTTTTTTGTAAATCGACGTGGATACGGCTCATGAATAAAATCGTAATTTTTCAGATCACCTTTGCAACAGATTCTCGACTTTCTGCAAGAACGAAGATCCTACGATAACGTACTTTTCGAAAATCACGGCACTACCGATATACGAGTCTTCATTTTTCATCAATTTCACCGAGTATCTGGCACCAGTTGAGAGTGGGCGTCTTCCTTGAAACGTGTACCCAACACGTCTGGCTGAGTATCGAGCGAATGTAACAACCTGTCTCGTGCTTGTCACGCGAGTAAACAGCTTCGGCTAATGAAAACAAAACAGAGTTTGCTCGGTCTCTCTCTCTCTCTCTCCCCTTCTCCTTCTTTTAGAATTGCGATATCCGACGTAACTTGGGATTTCTCCGTGAGATGTGCGTCTTGAGAAATTAATAATGCCATGAAATTAATACAAGTTTCATTCCCAAAAGAACACTTTATTGACAAACATAAGAATTTGAAAGAAAGGAAGACAAAGGAAATGAAACTCTGTTTGGAAGAATTTCCAAAAATGTCCATTTGTCCATTTCATTCGTTTTTCCCCATTCTTAGAAACTAGGAATGCGCCAAACACCATAATAATTTATCATTTACTCGCAAATTTTCACTCTACGAGATATCGGAAGGCTCGATCGCAGAAACTCATACTCGTTACAATTCGAGCCTAAAAATTGATCGACTCTTTTTACGAATGTGTGTTTGATATTCTATTGGAATATTTTTTCACTTTTTATTTCGTTGATAACGATGATTTAAATATACATTTGTAAGTGGGTGAGACCGAACTGCCATTTTGACAATTATCAGAGCGTTCATTTGCGAGATAAATTCATGAAATTTTCTACTTCTCCTCGTGCATAGGTATATTGATATTAATGTTGCTTTTTCCCTTCTCTAGTCGCTGAATTAATATTAATCGTCGCGGGCCGTATGTGGCAGTGTTTCACGGGCCGGATGTACCCCGGGAGTTCTGTTCCTCCTGAAAACATTCATCCTGGCTTGCCCCTTCGAGGAGAACACCTTCTCTGTGCGCGAATGTTCAACGTCCTTGAAAACTCGACTCGACGTTTTCTACACGAGGGAAAAAGGGTTGGCAAAGGTTCATCGTTTGGAACCTATGAAGCTATGAAGCTCGATTTTAAGAGCTCCCTGGTGAAACGGTGATGCACACACATGCCACGACTGTTCTCAATAGTTTACGAGCCGAGAAACGTTACACTAGTGGTAGGTGTATAAAACAGAAACACGGCCGTAAAAATATCGTTTGGAAACACGTTCAACATCGATAAAGCGTCTTTTCTTTCGACAAATGATAATTCGATCGAAAATTCTCATCAGTGATCTGTATCTAGTTGAGTTACATTATTGATATAATTGCAACGCGAAACGTTAATTTTACTGCTATCCCACAATATCTGAAACGCAAGTGAATAGTTGCTAATCCTGTGGAATTTAATGCCACGACGAGCGTCTCCTCTCGTAACGAATGCACGTAACTCGTGATTACATCCGCTCGACCTTAATTTGTGACTTCGCAAGCATTCGTGACGATTTCCGTCACGCGTCGTTTCTGACCAATTATTGCGAAGTTTTTGCTGTTCTATTAATTAACGACATCGCTCGCCTGCATCGCAATGAGAATAACTATTCAGAGGGAAACTAACGGCAGGTTAGGCTGTCGGTGAAACTGAGAAGGCAGAAAAATAAGAAACCCAAAGAAAAGACAAAGAAAAAAATGTGCGGTTCAGGAATGGAAAAAACCAGAAAAAAATGGAGAACGAACGGGTTGAAACTCTCTCGTGTTTCTCTTGCTCGGCGATTTTCACGAATATCCCGAGCACGGTCCGATTGTACGCTTAACCGAGTTACACGATGATAAGAGATATTTCGGTGGCTGAATTATCCAAGCGATTTTTCCTTCACATTTGTCTACCCGACTGATTGTTACTGCTGCTGCTGCTGCTTAATTCGTTGGAACTCTAGGAAGCGGACGAATTAACTCGTTCGAAATATTCTCGGTTGCATCGTGCAACGAATTAACTGGCCGTCGCGCAGTTTGAAAGCCACGTGTAACGCATTAAGCGAGTAAAACGTGAACGTAATTGCATCGTAATTAAACCATTAGCGGGACTGGGAAAAAAGAACAGAAAATACGGAACGGAATCGAAATGCGTGGCAGGTTGCGTAGCAGAGGTGCAGAATGGTATCGGGTAAATAAAGCTGTTGCATCCGCGACTGGCATACGAATACATCGGAAACATTTTTGCTCAAACGAACCAATGGCGAACAAACGAATCAATTTTTGGTGAACAAACCAATCAATTTTTTCGACGAGCGGCCGCTTTGCATAATCCAGCTGGATCAATTCGAAGTCTAAATGGCCACCGGCGACGCGAAACGAACGTTTCTCGATCTCCACCCTTGAACCATCGGAATTGTCTCTTTTTTATAAAATTATAAAAAAAAATATCTCATCGGTGTATTGAACTTTGACAGTTTGGCCACCCTCCACTTGATCCTCTTGATCGCTTTCGATTTATAAAAATAGTTTCTCTTTCCTCTAATTCGTTGATTGCAGTTTTCCACCGGTATTGTGCATCAATGTATCTCGAATGTACGTTTTTTAAATTCAGCGTCAAAATTCAATCGATC